CCTTTGAAACCTTCTGTTCAGCTCTTACTTCAACCTTTCTTCCACGCACCTTAGCGACTCCATGTTCAAGAGCAAGTTCCACAGTCACGCCTGTCAACCGCTTTAGGCTCTTCTCTCCTCTTTTCACTGAGCTTCTGCTTTCGTGTGTGATGATCTCGATGTAACTCCACAGCTGGTGTTTAGTGCTCAATGTGGCAAATCTGTTCTTAAGATGTTCTATAAATTCAGTCACGTTTAGGCTCTTGTGGATTTGTCTGTCTTCTTCAACTTCACCTTGACTATGAGTAACTGATGGACTCTTCCACAGCTGTCCAATGGCCTCCATCTGACTGAGGATATTCGAGTTTCTCCGGCATCTCTTTCCACAGATGGAGTCGGCCTCACTCTTATGGCTTCAATTCGGCGGGGTCAATGGACATAAACTCACTGCTACCGAGGCAATCCCAGCTAATAACAACTCTGTAGAACAGCGCTGAACGGCCCCGTGGGTTTTTGAGACTGTAATTCTTTATGGGAGTAGAACAGCTTGTCTTTCTTCCAATGTGGTAGTTATACATCATCTGTTTTCTATTTGAGACTTAAGAGTGAAGGGGTGAAGTTTAGCCTGTCAATCAGGTCGCAGCTTGATGACCTCATTTGGAGCCCCAAAGGAGAGAACTAGCTGGCTGGAGGCAGGGCGCTCACTCACTGCCTGTGAGACATTACTGATAACAAGCCACGTGGAGACAGGCTGGTGGCAGCCAGAGCCTGGGAGCTGGAGTAGCCACGTGGAGCCCCCGCCAGTGCTGAGATGCTTCTACCACCACTGGATCCACAAGACTTTCCACCCACTGACCTGTGATCTTCCTGCATTTGGCATCATTGCATGGCTACGTGAGTCTAAAGAGGAATTTATGGACTAGTATCGACATATGGGGTAATATCAGACTTACGGACTTGATCTGGATTGGGCTGAGTGTCTCCTCAATATACAATTGCTCTTTTATATAAAACTCTCATACATATTTGTGTCTATGAATGTTTCCCTAGTCTACTCAGACTCACACACCCAAGGAGCAGCTAGTGGTTTTGAACTTCTGACCGTACGGCTAGCAGTCCAGCAAGTAACCACTAAGCCAACAGGGCTCCTGGTGGTCTTCTGAATCATGATAATTGGCCTTTGGAGAAAGGCAGCCCACTGGCTTCTTCTGCCCGATGATAATTGAGTTTCTCCACGGTTTCTTTCCACAGATTTAGTCGATTTGATTCTGTGTATTCTATTTGGCAAAGTCCATGAGTATAATCACAGTTTACAGTGTTGAATGCGCATTTGTAATGAATAAGTTATTGCTCTTGCAAAGTACTACCATGTGCTCCCGTGTCATTTTTTATCACCAAGGTCCTTTTATCCAATGGCTTTGCCTTCAACTGTAGCATTCCAATCACCATTATTAATGCATCTCAACTGCATGTTTGACCAATTTCAGATTCAGAAATTGGTTTAAAAAAATCTTCAGTTTCACCATCTCTGGCATTAGCAGTTAGCGTACAGTTCTGAATAGTTGTATTAACTGGTCTTCTTTTCGTATGGGTATTATCCTTACACTGAAGAGGGTTGTACTTCACGAGACATCTTGAAACGTTCTTTTGACAATGAATACAACTCTATTTCTCTTCAATTTGTCATTCTCAACACGGTAAGCCATATGGCTTTCCTATTTGTAATGGTCAGATCCATACCATTTTAGCTCATCTACGCCCAGGATATTGTTGACTGCCAATTTTCCTAGGTTCTTACTTCGTGCAGCCCACATTCTGACTCTTAATGTATGCCTGCAGCTGTTTCTTCTCATTTTGAGTCATGCCGCATCCGTAAATGAAGGTCCCCGGGCATGTCAGTAAGGTCAATAGTACTTCGAAGTTGCACACACTCTTCCTCAGTCAGTGCCTTCCAACTTGGAGGATCATCTTCTGGCATTGTGTCACACAACGTTCCATTCCGATTCATAAGGTTTTCACTGGCCGCTATTTACAAAAGGAGATTGCCAGGTCCTCCTTCCCAGTATTACTGTAGTCTGGGAGCTCTCCAGCAACCTGTCCACCATGGGCACCCTGCTGCTATTTGAAATACCAGTTGTACAACTTCCACGGTCACGGAACACACCCTCACCAGTGTGCAACAGACAGGTGGTGGTCTTAACTTAGAGTAATACCTAAATCACCATTTCGAGAAAAGATTTTCAAAATGCATTATTTCAAATTGTAGCTTAAAACCCCACTGACATCAAGTTAATTCTAACTCATAGCAACACTATATAGGGTTTCTGAGGTTGTAAATCTTTTTAGGAGCTGAAAGCCTCAACATTCCCCCAATAAGTGCCTACTGGATTTGAACTGCCAACATTGGGGTTAGCAGTTCAGTGCTGATGTAACAGCAGTACCAGGGCTTATAAAAAATTACATAACCGTAATTAAAACCTAATGTATAATTTCTTCTTGAAATGCAATGCTTCTTTATCTTTACATCTGTTTCATTATTCCTCAATTAAAAAGAGACCACATCGACACTGCTCTTGGTTAAATCAGAATAAAGCCCTAATGGTCCTGCAGTTAAGCCACCATGTGCTGATCAAAAGGTCAGCATTTGAAGCCACCAAACACTCGTGGAAGGAAGCCGTGAGGGTTGGCTCCATAGACCGGAGTCTTGGAAATCCTGTGGAGTTATTCGACTCATCATTCAGTCCCTGTGAATCAAACGACGCAACGCAATGAGGTTTTGGTACAGATCAGGACGACGGTCCAGAAGAACTGGGCTATAGGTTACTCTTAGTAATAGCTCATCTTGTCCTTTAAGGTTCAATGAGCAATAGACTGGCCTTTTAAGGGAGGTGCGGTTCATGGTCTTTTCTAGATTCAGCTCCAATTTCTATGAGTGGGATAACATACCAATAGGCAAACTATTCAAGATAGAAAAGCTGAAATGTGTAATTTTCTTGAACTATATTTTTTTTGAATCCACAGAGTAACAGAGATTATAAAGCAACAGTGATAAGAACGAAAGTTTAAAAGTCTAGGAGGAACTAAGTATTTTGTGATTAACTGAGTAAATTATTTGCTATTGATTGTGTCTGTGTATCATCTCCAATTTCCTTCAAGTCTCTTAACAGAGACCAAAAATAGCTATTAGTGCATATCTGGAAGACCAAATCCCTCAACACGTAAAATCTATTAGCCAAAAAAAATCTCTATCAGATTACACACGTAGTGTCTAAGTCAACATAGTAAATGATGTTCGTTTTTTGCTACTTTACTGACAAAACAATCTGTCTATGTCTACACTGTAGTCAGACACACATCTTCTTGTATCTTGATGTCTACCGGTCTACCAGGAGGTACCCCTCCAAGAAATGGATTTTCCCCTGCTAGGCAAGCATCAGGTAACTTGTTCTAAGTTACAGCACCCAGTGACGTCACCTGGGAACGTTCTCTCTGGTTATGCTCAATTATTTGGTGAAAGCAGCTTCGCTCGAACCTTGTCTTTTGTGATAGCCGATTTAATAGCGTGTGGCTGTGAAATTTTGTTTCCTGCTCAGGAAAAATCCCGCAAGAACTGTTGTGATGTTGAACACTGCTTACAAGGACAGAGCTATCAAATATATGAGTAGTTTTCTCATTTCAAAAAAGGTGAAATGTTGATTGATGACAAACCTTCTGGAAATGTCAACTTCCTGCACAGATGGAAATGTGGACAAAATTCGTGCACCTGTGTCGAAGATCAATGATGGACCACTGAAGAGATGGAGTAGTTATCTGGACTATCTTAGAGCTCGGTTTAGTGAATTTTAATGGAAGATTCTGGAACGAGAAGGGTTGCTGCAAAATTTGTGTCTTGGACTCTGACTGACCTGGAAAAAGAGTGTCAAGTGGAAACATGCCGTGCTTTGAAAGAATAGCTCTGAAGCAGCCCAGACTTTTTTTTCCCCCAAGGTCATTACTGGTGATGAGACATAGTGCTAGTCTTAAGACCCTGAAAGCAAACATCGGTCAAACCAGTGGAAGATGCCATCATTACCTCAGCCAGGAAAAGCTTGTCAAGTAAAATCAAAGATCAAGATGATGCTCATTTTTTTTTCTTTTTAATGTCAACGGGATAAGTACATTTGGAGTTCGTTCCACCATGTCAGACTGTTAATCAACCTTTCTATATAGCGGTTCTGATAACCTCTAAAACTTTAGTGTGCAACAAAAAAGGCCTGATTTGTGGCAGGCAGGGGACTGGTTTTGCCAACATGACAATGCACCTGTTCATACAGCCATCTCAGTGTGCCAGTTTTGGGCAAAAAACAGCATGCCTCTCTTGCCGTGCGCATCTTACTCACCTGACTTCACTCCATGTGACTTTTATTTTTGTTTCTAAGAACGAAGAGGGACATGGAAGGATAGCGATTTGATGACTTAGAAGAGATGAAGAAAAAACGAGGGAGGTGCTGTCAGCCATCCAAACAGATAAGTTTGAAAAATGTTTCCAAGAATGGAATTGCAGAATTGACATGTATTAAGTGTAATGGAGAGTACTTGAAAAGTGATATGGTTGGTTTGTAAAAGTTTAAACACCTAGCTTTTGTTTTATTTGGGGGGGGAGGTGAATTGCAGTTTGGCAGGGTATCCCTTCTATTTCTCCCCACCTCTAACAGCAAATCAAGGCAGGCATATTATGAGACCACTTCGAACTTTGGCCCCATCGTCACAACAAACTCTTGACTTAAAAAAAGGAATAGCCCAAACAGGAGAGAGCCTCTGCCTATTCTACGATGCCTTCCCTGCGCTTCCACAGGAGACGCAACAGCTGTGTTTACTTCTTTCATAGTTTTTTAAGTTCCCTGAGTATAGGTGAAATTAGTAGTGCTAGGTGAAAAAGAAAGATATTGATTCCATTTGTATTGTAGGTAGAATGTAACGTGGGAAGAGAATTTCTAAATCCTTACAAGTTTGTACAAAAGTACTGTAATAAACTCCTTTACCTTTTCTAAGTCTTCAATTTCCGAACTGAAGTTTTTGCCTTCATCCATCATTTCCTCTTCTTCAAGAGTCCGTTCGTCATCATAGTCATGGACCAGCATCTCAGCAGTGGGGTCAAAATCATGATCCTCAGAAGACAGAGAGCCAACTGGAACCGAACAATCCAAATCACTTGACAGTCACAAAGCCACTTACACAAGAAAACAATTTGTGCTTGTCTGACAATTCTTTTCAATTTTTATCCTTAATTTCTCAAGGCATTCACTACGTATTTTACAGGTTGTGAAGCAAAACCATACGATTCTGAAAAGCCAAGTCAGCAAAAGAACAAGACAGCGTAATTTACAAAAGCTTTTACAGGAGATCTAGTCCAAGAGAAAGCAACTTATAATAGCTGCAAAGTGAGTTAAATGGAGTGGTCCTAAATCAATGTCCTAATAGAAAAACAGTCCAATTTGCTTATCAGTTAATTCATCATCTTTCCCCCTTTTTATTAGAAATGCAGCCAACTTGCTTATCTGTTCGTTTAACCTATTTGTCTACGAGCAATAGCAAAGCATCAGGAGGGCTCAGCCTCCTCGAAGAGAAGACTTCACGGGAATCTATTATACACTAAGGCTTGCGTTTCATAAGAGGGTATTAGCTTTATCCAAATTCTAATCCAGGTCATAGAATAAATGCAGTTCTTTAAAAGGTCTATTTAGATATTCTCTATATAGTCTTTAAAAGTACTATTGCCACTTTCATTTCTACAGCAGTCTTTCAAGCTCCCTGGCACTAATGACAGACATCAAGCTTTGGTTTGAATTACTAATACAACTTTAGGATTTTTTGAAGGGAAAACAGAACGTCACAGCTAAGCGTTGTGAAAGATGCATCCCACTGCAATAAGCTGGCAAGTTGGTCTACTCACATGCATTTATACAATTAAGATTTTATTTTTTAAACACAAAAGTAAAGTCATTAGGCTACTCCAAAAACCAAGGGAATGGATAAAATCTGTAATCCCAAAAGAATGAAAGCAAATTTATGAAAAACATTATTTTCCCCATTCGTTTGCTCTAGTATTTAAGTCAGCTAACCTACGCAGGAAAGGAGTATCAGAGTTGCAGCTGCGGTGTGAGAGAAGGGGAAACCGGCATTTCCAACATAACACATTTTATCGGCTTCTAGTCATGCTTGAATTTTAGTCAAGGCTAATATTTAAAATTTTCAAACAAAATTTAAGGACAATGTATGATCATTACCACAACACTTAGGCTAGGCCAAAAGTCTTTTCACTATGACCAAGCCACAGACAGAACTCAATGTTTTTGATTTTGAGTACAGAGAACTCATTTCATAAGAACTCACGGCTTAATTGTCTCAAGAAAAGGGCAATTTCTACAGGAGTTAATTCTTTAAGCAGTTTACATTGTAGTCTGAAGGACAAAACTCATTACCACGTACTCAATTCCAGCTTAAAATGGCCCTACAGAACAGAGTAGAACTGCCCCTGTGGGTTTCTGAGTCTAACTCCTTACCAGTGGGGGTGGGGAGTGGTTTCGAACTACTGACATTAGAGTTAGCAACCCAACAGATTAACCCACGATGCCAGCAGGGCTCCCTGAGTCAGAATTGACTTGATGGCAGTGAGTTTTAAGTTTACATTTTGGTAGTTATCTTTCAACATTGCTCATTTAAAAACCTGTTGAGGCAGATATGGTTAAAAACAATTTTAAGCCTTGATAAATGTTTATTAAATGGCTCAAAAGTAGAGCATCCTTTATTATAGTTTGCTGTTTTTGAAGAATTCTTAAAAACCTCCGCTGTAAGCTCAAACGTCAAGGAGGCAGCTTTTCCACCTCTCTGCGAGCAGGCCTGAGCTATATTTCTTTTGCTAACTCCGGATCACTTGGCACACAGTAGATCTCCCTTAATGTAGAAAGTGGAAGGTATTCAACAAGGCTAGAAATGGGAAGGCCTGAGGGTCTACTTCTGGCTTGGTCCTGGCTTTCTCTGGGACCTGAGGCAAGTCATTTAAACTTTCTGGGCCTCCATCCAGTTCCTCATTTGTGAAATATAGAGATTGGCTTAAATGACCTCAAGAATCCCTCCAGTTCTAAAATTCTTTGTAAAATTGACTAATTGATTAAAAACAGGTTATATATCTCTGTTTAGATACTAGAATCACAGTCTTCTTGCTTTTTAACATAAATTGCAACTTAACAGGAACGGTGCTGCAAATGGAAAAGATCCATTATCATCCAGATGTTTGGCATACTGTAGATATTCTTGTCATGACATCAGTTGTGCCCAAGAAATATTTGTCTCAAAATTAACAGAAACTTTTAATACAAATTTTTAATGCTATAGAGCCGTAAACTGCGATCTGCCAAACAGCCACACATTTCTCCTGTTTGAGATGGTCCTTCCGAATACCTTAAAAGATAATCAAGCGTGGCCTTGCGGGCCCACTACACACAAAAGTAATATTCCAGGGACATGGAATGTTCCCTGTAAGCCCCATGTTGTAATAGAAGACTTGGGAGCGAGTCCAGGCCCTGTATTAACTAGGTGACTCTCAGGAGAGTCATGTCAAAGTCTGTCTCCTTGACTGTAGGAGAAGGGAGTACGGGCTAGTTTTAGAGGCGGGTTTTCCTGGAGACAAAGAAAGGGCAGAGAGGCTGCTAGGAGGCGGTCTGAACAGGGGGGGCTCAGAAATAGAACTTGCCAAAAGATTCTCTCCACCTACCAGACACAGGGGTTCCACAAACCTCAAATTGTGTGCAGTAGGGTCTGATGTGCACTGTGCTGGGGAGAAGTCTCTGGCTGTCCCCAGAATCTGCCAGGGGTTCCTGACCCCAGAAAGGTGAAGAAACACCGCACTGAATGATCTAAGATTCCGAGTTATTTTTCACCACTTTTGGAAGCCAAGTTTCGTTTATTTAAAGTAGCTTTCCTTAACCTTCCATTTGCATTTTTATCACCATCTACAGAGATATCCCAATGATGAAAAAGAGCCCCCCCCTCAATAAAGAGGGGGGCAGGGTATATCACTCTAAAAAAAATCTCAGCAGCTCCAACTTTCTGACAAGGAGTTCAATCTCTGAAAGCTGTCACAATTACAAACCTAAGTTGTTACAAGGTACTGGAAAATTGAAGATAAACTGTTTGAGGCTTGAAAAAATGTGTGGACAGAAGACATATTACTTAAAAGCACTCTTGTCTGTGGTTGGCCTAGTACCAAACTATTTTTCCAACATACCAGGGAAAAAACAAAACAAAAACAGTACAACTGCTAGTTCCTCAAACCACTTGATTACCAATTATACCCCGAGAAACTCTTTAAAGCAAACGATAAAAAAAACTTGCAGGATAAGGTTTTGGGGGGGTTGTTGTTGGGGAAACCTTCAGCAATAGATTTCTGAGCTCCAGTTACACCGGATTCCCTCTGGGACCCACCAGCAGAAGTCAGAAAAGAAGACAAACCTGGGCTCGAACTTCCAAAGGAAGCCTAGGAGAGAAAAGAAAACGTGCGGTTAGATCGCGCAGCCGGGAAGCAGCAGCGCCGGCACCGGGGCGCAGAGGAGGCGGAGCTGAGCGCTCGCTCGGCCACAGCTGCCAAAAGTGCAGGACGGAGCTGCGCTCCGACCGCTCCGGGCCCCTTTCGGGCCCCCTCTTGGCTGCCTCGCCTTCCTCCTCCAGTCCCCGGGTCCCAACGCGCAGACCCGGGCCGCAACCGCGAGTCTAGCAGGCAACTCCAACCCGTCCCTGGGACTCGGAAAGTTACAAAGCGGCGAAGCCCAGCCCCGCGCAGTCGGCTCGCAGCATCGGTCCCCCACTCCCCGGCACGATCGATCGGAGTCTCCCCATTCGCAACCGGCTCTCGGGCCCCAACCCACTTTACGAAGCGCGGCGCAGCACCCTTTTCTGGAAGGGGCTCTCCCCTCCAAAGACCCGGCCCACCCCCTGGGGCGCGGGTGCCCCAACTCCGGGGCTGTCTCCTGCCCTGCAGCGCAGGCCAGCTCGCAGCCAGACCCTCGCCTCCAAATCAAAGTGCAAAGCCCCCTGCAACCTTCCTGCGGAACCTGAG